AACAATCTGAAATTCAAACTTAAACATGGTCACTAGTTAACCGATGTCAGCCTCCGATTGCGTCGAGACCATTTTACATGTTCATAAGTGTAAATTAGGAGACCTTAAAGATCCAAACGAATACATGGTGCTGAATTAGACCAACCCAGATCCAAAATGGAACCACAAAACCATGTTGTTTTGTGCACAAGTGTAACAACCCGTCCCACATCGGTTGGTGAGGAGAACTAAGCACTCCTTATAAGGGTGTGGATACCTCAACCTAGTATGACGCGTTTTGGGGCTTGCGTTGTGCGGCTGCCAGAAACAAAACCTTGCGACTACTGCTTTGTGGTTGAGCGGGCAGGTTAGTCAAAGCGGATAATATCATTGCTAGGGGGTTCTGGGGGCGTTACAAGTGGTATCAGAGCTAGACCCGGATCGATGTGGCCCAATGAGGACGTTGTGTCCTAACGGGGGGAGGGTGTAACAACCCGTCCCACATCGGTTGGTGAGGAGAACTAAGCACTCCTTATAAGGGTGTGGATACCTCAACCTAGTATGACGCGTTTTGGGGCTTGCGTTGTGCGGCTGCCAGAAACAAAACCGTGCGACTACTGCTTTGTGGTTGAGCGGGCAGGTTAGTCAAAGCGGATAATATCATTGCTAGGGGGTTCTGGGGGCGTTACAACAAGGCCTCGCACATGATTATGTGCTAGTTCCTACTTGGCTATGCACTAGTGTATGCTACCCCTAGACCTAGTTTATGCTTCGACTAGTACAATATTCTCCTTGTATCTATTTCATTTTTACACTAAATTGCTCCAATCTTTTTTTTATATTACAAGCCATCTTACTAACATCAACTTGATAGGTTAATCATGGATCCAAAGCCTAAAACATTTGGTGAATTGAAGACAGGCTAGAGTGAAGATATAAAAGCGCTGAATCAGTTCAGCAATACGTCTATCCGGTTGAAGACCAGCTATTGCATCTTAAGCCGAAACCGATTTGGAAAACTTATCGATCAAGTCTTCACTCACTAATCCTTCAGCAACATAGTTCTTCTTCATGAGGACGTTCTATGAAAGTGTCAGTAAACGTATATTTGTCATTACCCACTTTTCACTATTCATGCTTGTCTTTATCCGCTTTTCATAATTCCTATCATGCTCAAAGGACGATTGAACAGTGCCTTGTCATATTAAGGTGTGCTTTAAAAAAGGATTGAACCTAGCTGAGCAGGTCAACTTGAGCAAACTTATTCCAAGATGATAAGTGCCCCAAATGTTTACTGGAAAATACGTTGTTTGTTATGTGTAAGAATACCCAAAGCAGAATCAATTTCCCTCCTCAGCAAGAAGAAAATTGCATTCTTAGGGGTCGTTTACCAAACGTTTATCTGGATAAGCACTTACCAAGTTACGTTATCTCACTGGATTAATATGGTAAGGATCAAGAATCTTACCCGGTTAGAGCAAGACAAGGACCAAGAGTCTTACCCGGTAAGTGAGGGTGACGACTCTTGCCACGATAAGCGCTTATCGGATAAACTGTTGCATACGATTTCGTTTTGGTGGACTAAAATTTTACCCGGTAAGTAAATAATAGTGTTAAATTTTACCAGTAAGCACTTACCAGGTAAGTGTTTGGTAAATAGCCCCTTAGTATTTTCAAGAATGTTCCAAGTGAGTGTCGTTGATAGGTTTCTGTGAGATAATTTTTGTCAGTTCAAAAAATAGATTGTTTAAGTTAGGTTTATATTTTTTTTTCCTGCAAACAATATATGATTTTAATTTATATCAATAAAAAATAAATTTTGAAAAAGTTGTATATTTGTATTTATACCCCTTTTCATCTACAAATACTTCTAACGTATTTGTCATCCCATTTGGAACCAACATTACTCAATTTCATGAGTTTGGGTCACCAAACATAATAAACATGAGTTTGCAGGTTTCACAATTTAGTCCCTTCAACTTTTAAAAATAGACACTTTAGGCCCTTCAATTATCTTTCCATTGATGAAATAACTAACCTCTATATTATATTTTTTCTAAAATTTAAGAATATATAGGTTGGAAAAAAAATATTAAGGAATATAAATATTTTTCAAACTATAAATCTTTAAAACTTTTTATTCTAACTACAAATAACCTACTTTTTGAAAATACTTTTCATAAAATAACAATTTAATAAACATATCTTTCTTTTTAAAACACATTTTACCCTTTTTTTTGTAAAAAACGATTATTGTTACAAAAAGTAGAGAATCACTACACTTTATCCATTTTATATATATATATATATATATATATATATATATATATATATATATATATATATATATATATATATATATG